TACTCCGTATGCTGGCGGTGGTAAAGCATTACCACTGGCGATTATTATGTTTCTGGGAGTTTTCAGGACACTCACTAACTTGGCCTGATCGTCGACTGATAGGGCAGAATTTAACACATTCGCCGCTGAAAAGTCGAGCTCAGCAGGTGAATGGTCTGAGAAATCCAGCAGGAACGCTAATTCTTGGGCATAGTCAGTCAATTCAACGTCAGCTGGCTCATGCACATAGATCACATCGTCTTCCGCGGACTCATGCCCTTTGGTTGTTATGACTTTCGCAACCGAAATGGACGACTTTTCCAAGATCCTGACATCACTTCCAGAGTTCGGGTCTGGTGTAGCTTCGGGGAATTCTTGTCGATTGCGCCAGCGGTGAGGGACATCCGTCCAATCCCGGTCCATCCCCTGGGAATATTGAACCAATGCGACAATTTGAAGTGGTGTCGATGGATTTCGTGACATACATGCCGAGGTCAGAGCGAGGTAATTTTTTCTTGCTCTTATTCCAGGATATGTTTTCAGGATTCATAATGTGTAAACCAATGGCCTCCACGACAGCTCAAGATGTAGCTGAAGCGTATGAGGAACGGGTGTTCAGAAAGTTTGGTGCGTCCGAAATGATTCGCCACGATTAAGATCCAAGATTCATGAGTGGAGTATCCACTCGATTCAGGGAACTCCTGGGCAGCCGTCAAAGATCCTCCCTGAGCTACCGACTCCATGCCAACGGACAACAAGAACGTTCCGTTCAGACCGTTATCCGGAGCGTGTGAGCGTATGTTGCCGAGGCAGATCAGTCAGATTGGGATGATCATGCCGAGCGGTTGATGTACGCCCTGAAAACATCTTTCGACGCGATCCGCCTGGATACACCATTCTATTTGGTCCATGGTTGGGATGCCCAGGGCACCATATCCTCCATACTGGAACCCAAACCGTCCAGCCTACCAGAACGGACTGCATATGAATGGAGGAGAAAGTTCCAGCGTGATTATAGCTACGCACGAGCGTGTGCTAAGGACCTCCAGAAGAAGGCAAAACGCGTGAGATCGGAAGCTCAGACCTAGAAGTGGAGAGAGCTTTCAGAGCGTTTGAAATCTGGGTTAGAAAGGGGCGACGCAGTGTGTTTGTATATACCCAAAGTTCAACAACGGTGAGTCGCAAGTTGGCCCATCTGTGGCATGGCCCCTTCAGAATTGACAAAGTACATGATGATTTCAGGGTGAAACCGAAGATCGATGGAACCGGATATCGTGTGAACCCATGAGTACATGTAAGTCGTCTGAAGACTCGGGCATTGTTCCCTAGGAGACCCACAGACAAAATCACCCTGGACGAAAATGACGATCTGGATGCAGAATTGTTGCACTAAGATAGCTGGGAGGCGAACCACCAGAATGATGAGTATGAAGTGGAACGAATCCTGGATCTCCGATGGACTAAACGTACCCGTACATCGAGAAGAATCCGCGAATATCTCATCAAGTGGAAGGGGTACGTCGATCCAGAATGGATACCACTATCACAACTTAATTGTGGAGCCCTGTTGTATGAGTTCAACCAGGGTGCCAGAGCCAGAACACGCTTCAGGGCGATGCAGGGCGGTGACGACCACCCCAGGTTTTAGTCGGAACCCATCTGTTGATCCTGGACAACCAACTGACTCAGGTCCAGATTGACGAATTTTGGCTAACTGTCTCGATTCTGTGGATATCACTCTCGATTTTTTGGATAGCTTTCTTGGGTCACTCATGCCCCTGGATGACTTTATTCTTACTTCATATTCCTGGATGACTCTACGTAGTCCTGAATTCTGGATGGTGAAAGAACAAAATTTTGTTGCGATTCCGAAGTATGCTCTGAACTGAAGTGGATGAGTAACAATCAGGACGAAAGACCACAATGATATGTATTAGAATGTACTGGCATAGACGCACGACAACTCAAGTTATTGCAACGAAATACACGAAAACACCTCAATCATTAGTGCACTAAGCTGGGTTATCCTGGCGGGCCAATTGAGGAAGGAGGGTCACCGACACGGACTTGGGTATGTGATCCACCAGTTCTTCATCCAGAGCCGTAGTAGTCCACTGTACACGCGCTGGTTCACGACGATCCAGAATCTCGAGCTGTTCAGCCAGGGAGTATGGATTACCACGATCATTGACCGACCTTGGATCCATCAGAACCCAATACCACGGTTTCTAAGGCAGGGTCCAATATGCAGGCTCCCAGAAAATCGTAGATGGCGCCCCCTCAGCGACGCACTCTCGCTGTTTAACCTCCAAAGTCTGGGTCAACGCATCCCGTTGAAGTTTACGTTCACGCTGCATGTCGGCGCCACCTGGAGTAGACGAGTCGATAGCGAACCTGTGGCCACCATGTCAGAAGCCTGCTGCGTTTCCTCCATAAACCGTATGTATGTGTCGAGAGCCAATCCGTGCACGCGGTGTCAAGTCACCGTGAGAGTGAAGCACTAGACGTTTCACGCGCGTCTCGAACATGTTTGTCCAAGGGTCGGTCGCCAATAACGCTTGCACATCACTCATGATGAATCGTTGCTTGAGAGGTTGAATTCCACCCACCTTGATGGGCGAGTAATCAGGGAATCCGGCAGACTGGTGTACTGCGTGAGCAGACGAGGGAGCGAAGGTCATCGGGATGCCATAATGTCGCCAAGACGATACACCAGGGCCGGGGACTTCCACAATCGACGAGTCAGCCACACTGAGCGCACTAGAATCAATGCGAGCCAAAGGAGACTGATGCCGTAGACTACCGGCTCGGTTGCGCCGTGACGGCGTATTCGTCGCACGTCGTAACCGACCCACCGTGGGAAGACACAGACGTACGACGACGTTTGGCAGCTGGAGGAACGTCGCTCGGACCTTGAACATCGTCTCCATCCTGGGCGTCAACCTCCTCCTCCGGATTGTAATTCGCATCGCGCTGGCGATCGTCGTGCTCACTACTCGCACCATCATCCACATCTTGAGCGTCACGAATGTCTGCGTCGACAAGGTCTGGCCAAAGTCAGGATGCACACCTTCAGAATGCACGTCAGCCAGGAGTAATTCCGCACGAAGGTAGTAGCGCTCAGGAACGTACTTGGACTACTGCACATCATCGAGACGATTCTAAAACATCGTGCTCGTGAGCATGGCAGCAAGTGCGGCAGGAGGAAACAGATTGTGAACCATGATGGCCTCACTGAGCATTGCGATCGCGCCCTGGTAACCGATCCCGGCTTGCATCAGTAGATTGACATCAGGGCGAAGTGTGTCCCAAACCACAGGTTCGTTCTTCATAGTGTCGCGCACTTGAGCTTCCGATAACATCAACTTGTCTGTGGGAAAGCGGACCCCATCTTTCGTGCGTTTTAACCAGTAGGTCGCAGTTGAGAGGATTGTGGAACTTTGGACACAGACCCGTGTTGTCTCTGTTTCTTGAAGGATGTAGGTTTCCGCGAGGGGGGGTTGCTGGCACCAGAATCAGGCTGTGTCAAGTCGATGGTGTTACTTCCGCCCTGAATGTGGCCGCCCTGGGCGTCAGCGCCCTGGCGACGACCATCGTCCTTTGTCTCACCATCTGAATCATCCTCAGACAATGCCGTGAAGGGCACATTCTGGGCGAAAGGGTCATCCACCGCAGTGACCGCGATTAGAGTACTCCAACTACACTCCGGATCAGCACCATCACGAAAATGCTCGAACAACCTTTGGAGTCGGCCCCAGTTATCGTTGACGCGGGTCTGCTTTTGGTTCAGGAAATCCATCAAGCGAGGTACGTCAAGACGACGCGCCCCACGGCGGCCTCGACTCGTCAAAAGGGGACTGTCCACTCGGGAACGCAATTCAGAAATTTCTTCTTGAAGGACGCGCTTTTCGAGCTCGTGCTCAGCCATGGCTCCACGGAGGTCATCTTGACGGCGGTGATCTGCAGCGTCCAGCAGCATTTGCAGCCGACGAGCTTCACCCCAGTAGAATTCGTGTAGCGTAGCATAGTCGGCCTTGACCCTGACAGTCTCCCTCTGGGAGTCCAGAATATCTTGGACGGCCGTACGATGTTTGGCCTCCATCTGAGTGTGTAGGTGTCGGAACTTGTCCAAGAACCGTTTCAAGAAGGTCGTAGTGGCAAACACCTTCACAGTCTGTCTGGACGATAGTGTGACAGGATGGAAGCAAATTCCCGACGAACGATCAGTGAATCCAACATACATTCCAGATCGGCTAAGTCAAGGGGACGATCAGGATGAGGGCGCAAAGCCAGGCCATCCACGTCACCATCATGACCATCCAGCGAAGCCAGATCCTGGATGTCTACCGGACCCGTCGACGCACTGCAACACCTCGAGACCTCCGTAACCATCCCTGGTGTACTTGTCTTCGGCGATATGCTGGGACCACGCAGGTATACCCACGAAAAATGCATGGTCCGATGGGCTGTGAGTCACGGAGCGAAGAAAGCTAGCAGGCACCACCTCTGGAACAATCGCGGGACGATCTTTTGCCGGCAATGGCAGGGAGTACCGCTGTGTCGTCGCTTGAAATCGATTGACGATGCGCGAAGTGATATCCAAGCGTGCATCGTGATCCGTCACGCCTGCGGTCGAATCTTTGTCCTCCAACATTGGCTCATCCGCGTCACCAGCGTCGTCATCAGGTCCCTGGTGAGGAAGAGACGGGAGGTGCGTTGGAGAAGCACCCTGCGAAGCCGACCCAGTCGATGATGCTCGGTGTAGTTCACCCCGATTGTCGTGAGAACCCATGTTGCCACCAGCCACATCAGTGCCCGCCGAGTTGGCCACCCCACTGGGGCCGACGGGAGTTGTGCCGTACTAGGAGGTGGGTTGGTCGCCGGGAGAACCATTTGCGTGCTGGAGAAGGAAGTGAGTTGTCGAGCAGAAGTGATTTCGCATTGTGAGTGGAAATCTCTGAGGCGGCCACGCCATGACAGAACTTGACTTGGGTGCCAAGCGGTAGGGCGAAGAAACGATGCGAGTTGCGGTAGTGCAACGGGTGGGTCATTCAGGATCGCCCTGGATTGGTCGACTGTGGATGTAGTCTGGTCATGATCGTTCACCTCGGTGGTAATTTGCTCTGTGAAAGATCCTGAACAAAGGGGCGGTTGTGACGATGTGGATCGCAGTTTTGAGAGATTGACGAATGAGGGAATGGGGTAGGCGCGGATTGGTCGAGAGCGATGAGTTCAGAATTGGCGCGTACGTGAGCCATGGAGAACGATCGTTCTGGATGGAAATGGAGCTAGTAGGTGTGTGTTCAAGGAAGGGACCATGTATTCGGAAGTGGTCATCCAGGATGAATGATGGTGTGCAGGACATCCAGGATGAAGCTGCCCTGGATGTGAGTACCCAGGATCAAGGTCCACATGTCTCAGATTGTCGAGACGTGGTGATATCGACTGAGGCGCAAGGTCTGCGGGAACCATTGACATGTGATGTGTCTACCCTCCCCATACTAAGGTCAAGAAATCAAGATGAACAAGCACCGTCATCATTGATGTGTGTATGAAGGGAACCAAGAAGAAGACCGTAAGAAGACAGAAGACCGTAAGACGTTAATATTTAAACAGAGTTCAATTTGCCGTGGAAGAGTTAA